TTAATTTAAAGTCAGGTTATAAGCTTTTGTTTCTACAAAATGGATAAGAGACAAGACTTTTGTCAGGGACTGTATTCACTTGGGTGATATCCACAATGACTTGGTGGAAACTCCTGGGCCATTCACAGCAGAAAAGATGAAAACCTCCAAGAGTCTCGATGTGTTGTTGAACTTGTTGGAGTCCACGGTTTGTTAGGATCTTCTACGTTTGCTCTGCGGATGTTTGAAAGTCATTTAATTCACCGTTAGTGGTTCTTTTCACTCAGAATACGAAAAAGACATTTTCCTTCTTCCGTGCTTCTATTTGTGCATCTGATAATGCAGCAGGAATTTACCATTATCGGGGAGAAATACACGAGGTTACGCACTGTGTTTGACCACTACCGTGTTTCTTGCCTCCGACCAAAATATTTCCCAGCATGCAAGGCGGGCTTTTAATAACAATGACGTCAGCTGAAACTCACCTATAATCTTATCAGGAGAACACGGACACATGCAAAAACGAACAGTACGTAAAAGTTTCTGTAGAATTAAAACTTTTAATTTCATATATGATAGTTTCAGTTGCTCTTTGTTTGATTATTTTACCGCGTGTGACCCGGATGAACGTGCCGACGTCTTCTGTGTTGTCATGGTTTGGTTCGGAAAAAAAAGTTTTACTTGGTTTCCATCGGGAACCAACTTTTCGGTTCCCGAACGCTCTGATTTCCGGCGTGAACACGTGAGTCGGTTCAAGATCAGGTGCGAGAACCGGAACCGGCACAGTTCTGTCGGCCTGAAAACGCCTCTACAGACCCCAAATTGCTAACTCCACCACTGCAGCTGAACACACTCATGGCTCCTTTTTACAACAGAAATCAAATATTGTTGAGAAAGTTCTTCCCAAGTGTGTGGCAGAAGTTTCCATAAATGTGTGACACTTGTAGGTTGCTTCACTCTTCTGTCCAGTTCATCCCAAACCAGCTCCATGGGGTTTAAGTCTGGACACTGTGCTGCTGCTGGACTCTCCAGGTTTTCAAACTCACCAACTTTTTTTTTTTTCCTGAGGTAGTTTTGGCAGAGCTTGGACTTGTGTTTTGTTATTTTATCTTTTTTTTTTTAACCTCTGTTTGTTCAGTTTTTACCTTTGTACCATTTCAATCTCTTCATTGGACTTACACGACTTGAATTGCAATAAATAACTGGAAAAATGAGGGTGTTCCAAGTTTATCGACCAGCTCCGTATATTTTTCCATCCCATTACATGTTTTAAATGTGTTTTGTATAATGTTATTGAGTCAAAAACAAAAATAAAGAAAAAAGCGAAGTCCTTCATTTGAGATTTTTTTTTATTTCAATGTAAAAAAAATGTCAGATTTTAGTCATGATTTTCTTTTTTCAGTCTAAAATTTAACATTATTTTTACCTTTTTTTTAACAACGTTTTCATCGTAATTAACTAAACTATATTCTTAATCTACGTGTTTAAAATTACATCGCAAAATTAAACAAAGTGATCAAATATACATTTTTTTCATTGTGCATTCCTAATCTTTGATAAATGAACAAAAAGTGTAAAATTTAATTAAAAAGTTAAATCCATCGGACTGAACATGAAGTTTCAGAGACAAACTTTACAAAAACAAACAGAATTTAAAAATGTGAAAGTAAATAAATTATAATATATCACATTTAAATTATATCATACAAACACTCAAAAGTCACTTCACAATTTTGTGCGAAATCCGATTGTCCGACCAACTTTTGGATTTGTAAATGAACCAACCGAGTCGCCGTGTTCCCGTGAGCGTGAAGTGTGATAAAGAAAAAAAAATTAACGATATTTTTACATTCTGGCTTGTCCCAAAATAAAACTCTTTCCTCTTCTTCTTCACTTTTTTTTTTTTTTTTTTTGCTTCTTCTCAGTTTCTTCTTACAGCCAGAGACGTCCTGAGAAACTATAGGCCCGACCGATATGGATTTTTAAAATTTGCAGTGTTGTGAAGTTTACTGTTAAAATGTAATCCCCTACAGATTACAGATTACATACACCAAAATGTAGTTTGTAACGGAATCCATTAAATTACTTAAAGTGAGTAATGTAATCTGATTACTTTGGATTACTTGATTTGCTGTAGAGAAACAAAGACGAGGAAATCTACACATAAGAGGTTTTGTCTGATAAAAGAAAATTTAAAAAGACCAGACTTTACTGAACTAATTGATAGAAGACGAGGAGACACAGTCCATGCAGCATGATTAAGTCCTGTTAAATCCTGTTTTAGACCTGGTTTAGACCTGGTTTTAGTCCTGATTTAGACCTGGTTTAGACCTGGTTTTAGTCCTGGTTTAAACCTAGTTTGGACCTGGTTTAGTCTTGGTTTAGTCCTGGTTTAGACCTGGTTTAGTCCTGGTTTAGACCTGATAAATCCTGTTTTAGACCTGGTTTAGACCTGGTTTAGTCTTGGTTTAATCCTGGTTTAGACCTGGTTTAGACCTGGTTTAGTTCTGGTTTAGTCTTGATTTAGAACCTGACTTAGTTCCAATTTAGACCTGATTTAGTCCTGGTTTAGTCCTGTTTTAGTCCTGGTTTAGTCCTGGTTTAGTCCTGGTTTTAGACCTGGTTTAGACCTGATTTAGTGTCTGGTAATGAGTGGAATTACCGAAAAAAAAAAGAAAAAGGGAAATAGCCCGAAATGTGAAAACAGGAAAATCCCGCCTGTAATCCATTTACTTCAACAAAGTAACTGTAATCTAATTACCACTCACTGAAACAGTAACTGTAACTGAATACAGTTACTCATCATTTTTACTCTGATTACATAACTCCGGTACATGTAATCTGTTACTCCCCAACACTGCTGATAAAAGTGAGTTGGAACTGCTGATAATCGATATAAAAGCCGATATATTTAATGACGTAAAAATTCACTGTAAATCTTCAGTTGATTATAAAACTGAGGTCCGGTTCTACTGGAATTTAAATTGGGTTTGTTTAAGCGACGTTTATTGTTACTTTACATCATATTTAAGGACAGCAGGTCGGACTAATGCCATTTTTGCATCATATTCTAGCCTGGAAAGAAAATATGTAAACTACCACTATCTGCGTGTGGGTCGCGGTCATTAATTATATGCGTAAATGTGAATCGTTCACACCTCAGTGCAGGTCCAGGAGCGAGTACGGACACTTCAGGCTACGTCCACGTGATTTTTTTTCTTTGCGGGTTGAAAAAAATTTGCGTCCACACACGTGTTGGATCAGTAAATATTCACGTCCACACGACAACGGAGCACTGAGTGAAAATGATGTGTTAATAATGCAAATCTCATCACCGTTAAACTTTAAGGTCATTTAGTCGGTTTTAAATGTGTCCCAGAAATAGACGTTTCATTTTGCAAAAGTTAAACATAAGTCACAGAGAGAACACTCATATTCCACTGAGTCGTGTCCTTTAGTCCTACAGAAGCTGAACCACATCAGCGCACAAGGAGCGAGCTGTTTTTTTTTGGGCTCTTAGTTTATGCAAATTAGCCATGTGGTTTTAAGTTTTGCTCTGTAAAACATAAAGAAATGTGCTCAAAGTCGTGTGGACAGGGAAGGATTGTGGACACAGAAACGATGTGTCTGGACGCTAAATCTAAAATTTGATCAGCAAATTAGTTCTATTGTAAAGTCTATTTTTTTTCCAGCTAAGACAACTGGACAAAATTAAGCCTATTGTCAACAGAGCAGTTCGAAACTGTCATGCACGCGTTTGTGATGACTAAATTGGACTATTGTTTCTGATACGGTGATACACAGATTCAGTGTAAACGTGATCTTTGTTACTGATCCGTGTGTGTGATCTGTGGTGTGTGTTGTTAGTGTTGGCACTAACAGTGTGTCTCGGTTGTTGGCGACAGGAGCGGCTCTGTAGGCTGCACCTGTCACATTTTGGCAACACTTTTGCCGTCTGTGGAGGCCAATTAAATGGCTGCGGGCTTCGCTGTGTCGGAGGACCCTGGTGATGATGAGATTGTGACGTTGTTGTTTTCCAAAAGCTGTGGTTTGTTTGTCCACACGAAAACGCGACGCCGGCGTCTCAGATTTCTCCACTCTGGAACCTGTTCTCAAAAAAACATTTTCACCCACTCGAAACGCCGTGTGGACGAAAGGACAAAACAAATACAAACTTCTCAGTTTTTACCAAAAAACATTGTCGTGTGGACGGCCCCTTAGTCACTTTACACTAGAGGTGGGACCAAGTCCTTGTGTTGCAAGTCTCAAGTAAGACTTTTAACATGAACTTGTTTGCAAATAGGAATAAGTTAATTTTCCTTGTAAAATCCTGCACTCGGCTCCACTTTTCTCATGTTGGACATTTTTCTGATGAGGGTGTCACAGTCAACAGTCAAAACGATCGTCCTTTAAGAGCGTTTGGAAAGAGACAAGTCTTCATTTGTGCTGCTCTGGGGGGAGGCAGCAGGGGTCGTAGGTTTGACTCCCCTGGATTAAATGGATTTCAAATAAAGAGTCTAAGCTTCATAACGAAGCAGAACACGCCCAGGAGCCCACATGGTCGGGCCCTAGAAAAACTACCAATATTTTTACATCTTGACTTGTCCCAAATGAAAATTTTACCTGAGACACATTCAGACAGCCAAAGGGGAGTGAAGTGTCTTGCCCAAGGACACAACAGCAGTATGCAGCAGGTCTGGAGCAGATCAAACCACCAACCAACAGAGTCTCTGTGTGAGAAGAATGATACAGAATCTAAAACTACTACTGACTTGACCCAAAATAAAAGTATCAACAACAGACGCTCGAAAATCCTTCTTTTTTTCTTCTTCTTCTACCTCTTCTCTGTTAATCTGTGGCCTTCAGTTTCTTCTCGCAGCCAGAGTCGCCCCGGGGCAGATGAGCGCACATGTGGCTGTCAGTCTGCAAAACACTTCAAACCATCTCCAAAAAACCTCAGAGTCTCAACCGGAGACTAAACCGAGTCTCCAGGACCAAAGACGCATCCAGGGTCCACGTCGCTAAAGCGTGGAGCAGTGTTTGGGCGGCGCGTGGTGTCCGCCCGCGTGGTGTCCGCCCGCGTGGTGTCCCGCGTGGTGCCCGTTCGTGTGACCGTTGGCCTTGACGTGGTTCGGACCGGGGCGGCCTTTGGATCCAGGGCCTTTGGATCCAGGGCCCCTGGATCCGGGACCGGAGCCGGGCAGCGGGAGCAGGTGGCGGTTCCCGGGGTTGTTGGCGAGCAGACGGGGGCTGGGGCTGGCGGAGGAGAGCGTCTGGGAGCTGCCGTTGAGGTAACACGAGTGGTTTGAGCCTTTGGGGCCTCTGTAGTTGTAGTACGCCTGCCAGCCCTGGTGCTTCCTCCTCCAGCGACACCGAAGGATCCGGATAAAAGCCTGGAACAAACAAAGACGGAATGTTATTCAGGAGGATTCTGGTTTAGTCCTGGTCTAGAGCTTTAGTCCTGGTCCATCTTTAGTCCTGGTTTATTCCTGGTCCAGTCTAAGGTTAGTCCTGGTCTAGAGCTTTAGTCCTGGTCCATCTTTAGTCCCGGTTTAGGTCCTGGTTTAGTCCTGGTCCATCTTTAGTCCTGATTTAGTCCTGGTCCTGTCCTGCTTTAGTCCTGGTCCATCTTTAGTCCTGGTCCAGTCCTGCTTTAGTCCTGGTCCATCTTCAGTCCTGGATTAGTCCAACTTTAGTCCTGTTACATCTTTAGTCCTGGTTTAGGTCCTGGTTTAGTCCTGGTCTAGAGCTTTAGTCCTGGTTCAGTCCTGCTTTAGTCCTCGATTAGTCCTGGGTTAGTCCTGGTCCAGTCCTGGTCCTGGTCCAATCCTGGTCGAGACCTTTAGTCCTGGTTCATGTTTAGTCCTAGTTCTGTCCTGGTCCATTTTGGCTTTAGTGCTGGTTTAGTCCTGGTTTAGTCCTGGTTTAGTCCTGGTCTGGTACCTGTTTGAACTCGCGGCTGTAGCAGGGGTAGATGACGGGGTTTAAGCAGCTGTTGAAATATCCGAGCCAAAAAATCACTTTGAAGAAGGTCTCCGGGGGCCGCAGACTCGCGTTGAATGAACCTAAAAATAAAATAAAATAAATACAATAATTTAAAGACGATTTCATAAAAACACGGGACAGGTGCTCGGGAACCCGGACCAAGTAAGGGCTGGATTCAGGTGAAATACTCCCTACAACAGGCAGACGGAAAGGGCCACAGTGCACCGGGTTCTGATCTGGTCTAATGACAGGTCACAAACAGAATCAGAGCCAGGTTTAGTCCTGGTCTAGACCAGGTTTAGTCCTGGTCTAGACCAGGTTTAGTCCTGGTCTAGTCCCATTTTAGTCTTGGTTTAGCCTAGGTATAGTCTTTGCTCTAGTCCTGGTCTAGTCCTATTTTAGGCCTGGTCTAGCCTAGGTTTAGTCTTGGTCTAGTCTAGGTCTAGCCTAGGTTTAGGTTTTGTTTCAGTCCAGGTTTAGTCTTGGTCCAGTCCAAGTTTAGTCTTGGTCTAGTCCTGGTCTCGCCTAGGCTTAGTCTCAGTCTAGTCCTGGTCTAATCCCATTTTAATCCTGGTCTAGCCTAGGTTTAGTTTTTGGTCCAGATCAGGTTTAGTCTTGGTCTAGCCCAGGTTTAGTCTTGGTCTAGTCCTGGTCTAGCCCAGGTTTAGTCCTGGTTTAGTCCTAGTCTGGCCTAGGTTTAGTCTTGGTCTGGCAAAAAAAGTGATTTGGGGTTTAGTGGGCATGATCCTGATGTTTTTATTTCAATATTTTGTCCTTAAATCAGTTCCTGTTCCTCATTTGAAACTCCACCTGGCCCCATAACGGCAAACCTCGATGAGCTTCATTTGACTGGACGTTCGGGGGGGTTTTGACTCTCACTTTAATCAATTTATTCACTTTATGGTTCAGAACATGTTTTCAGAGTGCTCCCTCTCTCTCCTGCTCCCACTGTGCTGGTCCTGATCCTGATCCTGATCCTGATACTGATCCTGGTCTTGGTCTTGGTCTTGATCCTGGTCTTAGGTTTGGGTTTTTGGGTCTTTGTGGGGTTTTATCAGATCACAGCAGCATGTTCCTTTTTATCACAGGATCATGTTTCTGTAGGTTTGAACTTTTAAGGCCAGTGTCTCCTACCTCCTACCTCCTGTCTCCTACCTCCTGTCTCCTCCCTCCTCCCTCCTACCTCCTGTCTCCTACCTCCTTTCTCCTACCTCCTGTCTCCTACCTCCTGTCTCCTACCTCCTGTCTCCTACCTCCTGTCTCCTACCTCCTCCTACCTCCTGTCTCCTGCCTCCTCCCTCCTACCTCCTGTCTCCTACCTCCTGCCTCCTACCTCCTGTCTCCTACCTCCTGTCTCCTACCTTCTACCTCCTGTCTCCTACCTCCTACCTCCTGTCTCCTACCTCCTTTCTCCTGCCTCCTTTCTCCTGTCTCTTGCCTCCTACTTCCTGTCTCCTACCTCCTACCTTCTGTCTTCTACCTCCTACCTCCTGTCTCCTACCTCCTGTCTTCTACCACCTGCCTCCTCCCTCCTGTCTCCTCCCTCCTGTCTCCTACCTCCTGCCTCCTCCCTCCCTCCTGTCTCCTACCTCCTGCCTCCTACCTCCTGTCTCCTACCGCCTGCCTCCTACCTCCTGCCTCCTACTTCCTGTCTCCTACCTCCTGTCTCCTACCTCCTGCCTCCTACCTCCTACTTCCTGTCTCCTACCTCCTATCTCCTACTGCTTGTCTCCTACCTCCTGTCTCCTGTCTCTTAGTCTAGTCCCATTTTAGTCCTGGTCTAGCTCAGGTTTAGTCCTGGTTTAGTCCTGGTCTAGTCTCATTTTCGTCCTTGTTAATAAATTTGGCACTTGTGGATTATTTGTTTTTCTTTTTCAGTGAATTAAAATAGAAAATACTTTGATATTTCAGTAAAGAATCTTTGCTCCAGTTTAAAATCCGTCAAAAGATCAGTTTGTGTAATATTTTCACTTTTGGAGCGTCACTGTGAGCGTCGGTGCTTCCTGTTCAGTTTTTATCTCTTTGTGGTTTCTGCCGAGTCATGATAAAATCAATAAATATTTCAAGATAAAGTCGTGAACCGGACGCGGTGGGAGGACGTCACTGAAAACATGTGGAATAAGTTGATTTACACATTTGATATTTTACACTTTTGTAGCTAAGGCCCTAAATTCAGCTTTTTTATGTCCAGAAAGTTGTTTAAACATGTTTACTGTGTGTTTGTATGAAAGAGTGTCAGTTTTATTTTCCGTTTTTTTTGTTTGTTTGTTTTTTTCATTTGTATTTCTGCTCCTGTAGATTTTCTTACAGCCGTATGACACAACTACAAGAGCAGATAACAGGATGTACTTTAAAAAAAAAGGATGTTTAACACTTCATTAGGGGTAAAAGGGGGAGTTTTAAAAGCAAAATTAAGAAAAAAATCCAGGTGAGGACAAATGACTAAATACAGTCGTCCCTCACTATAACGCGGTTCACTTTTCGTGGCTTCGCTGTTTCAAAGATTTTTTTTTTTTACAGAGTATGTGTTCCTCCCCCTGCGTTCTGATTGGCTGTAGACCCCTGTCAATCAATCTCCTCTGTGCCGCATCTCCTGTACTGTATAGAATATGTTCAGACAAATTTACATAAGTGTTGGATCTGTATCAGTGTGATTCTGAAGTGCTGTATGTTTGTGAGTTTCTCCCGACAAAATCCACAATGTCGATGAAACTTTCTGCACTGACAAAGACTCCTGCGGTTGCACTCAAAAGGAAGAGGAAGATGTAACCCTCACGCAAAAAGTTGGACTTCTGGACACGCTGAAGGAAGGTAGAAGAGAGAAGTTACACGGCTGTGGCAGAGTCCTGCACCGGGTCATGCACCCACGGGTTACAAATGTTACAGCACCAGGATTAAACCAGGTCTAAACCAGGTCTAAACCAGGATTCATCTTGGACTTAAGAGAGAGAGAACCCCGAGCCCATGGAGCAGGTGTTCACAAAGTGCGATCGGGCGACGGCTGCACTTCCTCCGTGAGGCGTGGAGCTCTGCACCGATCCTTTCACCTGCAGTCACCCGACGGTCTACTCCAAGAGTGTCAAACATACGGCCCAGGGGCCAGATCTGACCCTCCAAGACCTTTAATCTGGCCCTCGGCTGATTTTCTACTCAAATATTTTAATGATATTTTCTATTAAAATCTTGTATTTTCTGTGGTGTTTATCACAGCAGCGTCTCCGTACGTGGCCCCTCCCACCAGAGCAGCACAAATGAAGACTTGTCTCTTTCCAAACGCTCTTAAAGGACGATCGTTTTGACTGTTGACCGTGACACCCTCATCAGAAAAATGTCCAACATGAGAAAAGTGGAGCCGAGTGCAGGATTTTACAACAAAAATGGACTTATTCCTGTTTACAGACAAGTTCATGTTAAAACACTGTGTTGAAATTGTATTTTTCTTAAAGTTTCAGGTTGTTCATAATATTATAATAAGAAAGAGTTCATCAATTAAAAAAGATTTCTGTAATAGATTTGTGTTTCTCTGCACAAATATTTGAACTTATTGTTATTTTTGGGGTTTATATGACATGAGTTTTCTGATCCAGACACTTTGGGATCAAAGTTGGTTGGACACGACCCCCAGAACAAAATGAGTCTGACATGTCTGGTCTACACCCAGTGTGCTCATCCCGACAGTGAGTCCTGGTTTAGTCCTGGTTTAGTCCTCTTGGTTCAGTCCTGGAATCAGTCGTAGGTTAGTCCTGGTTTAGTTCTGGTTCAGTCCGGCATCTCGATCAGTGTTCAGTAAATAAAGCCTGTGAAGTTTTGACAGTCGAGTTGTATCTGTGAATTCCTGTTCGTACTGAAGAAATCGTAACCGCTTCATTTCATTTTGTGATTGTAATAATTGTAAAAAAAATAAATCTGACTACTTTGCAGATTTCACTTGTGGGTTATTTTTAGAACGTAACCCCTGCGAAAAACGAGGGACCACTGGACTAAAACTGCCCTTGGGTCTGGAAGGGTTAAAGGTGCATTCACACTTCCACGAGGCCGGGACTAAACCAGGACTGGAACAGGACCCGGTCGTGTCTACATCACAACAAAACCACGGCCAGATCAAGATTAGTTTGAAGGCCCTGGTCCAGTCCAGGTTTAGTCCTTGTTTGGTTTCAGACTAGCTCGTTTACCCCTGAGAGTAAAACCGAGATTCCCGTGGTGGTACCTGAACGTCTCACTGTAAAAAAGATTCCAAATTTGGAAATGAGATTAAATCCGGCCTGTGGTTTTTGACTATATAAGAACATATGGATCTAATATAGGGTTTTGTCCTGGTCTAGCCCAGGTTTAGTCTTGGTCTAGACCAGGTTTAGTCTTGGTCTAGACCAGGTTTAGTCTTGGTCTAGTCCTGTTCTAGTCCCAATTTAGTCTTGGTCTAGCCCAAGTTTAGTCTTGTTCTAGTCCCATTTTATTCTTGGTCCAGCCCAGGTTTAGTCTTGGTCTAGCCCAGGTTTAGCCCAGGTTTAGTCCTTGTCTAGTCCCATTTTAGTTCTGGTCAGGTCTACGTTTTGTCTTGGTCTAGCCCAGGTTTAGCCTTGGTCTTTTCCAGGTTTAGTCTTGGTCTTTTCCAGGTTTAGTCTTGGTCTTTTCCAGGTTTAGTCTTGGTCTTTTCCAGGTTTAGTCTTGGTCTTTTCCAGGTTTAGCCTTGGTCTTTTCCAGGTTTAGTCTTGGTCTTTTCCAGGTTTAGTCTTGGTCTTTTCCAGGTTTAGTCTTGGTCTTTTCCAGGTTTAGCCTTGGTCTTTTCCAGGTTTAGTCTTGGTCTTTTCCAGGTTTAGTCTTGGTCTTTTCCAGGTTTAGTCTTGGTCTTTTCCAGGTTTAGTCTTGGTCTTTTCCAGGTTTAGTCTTGGTCTTTTCCAGGTTTAGTCTTGGTCTTTTCCAGGTTTAGTCTTGGTCTTTTCCAGGTTTAGTCTTGGTCTTTTCCAGGTTTAGTCTTGGTCTTTTCCAGGTTTAGCCTTGGTCTGGTCCCATTTTAGTTCTAAGACTAGTTCTCATTTACCCCTGAGAGTAAAACCGAGATTCCCGTGGTGGTACCTGAACGTCTCACTGTAAAAAAGACTCCAAATTTGGGAATGAGATCAAATCCGGCCTGTGGTTTTTGACTATATAAGAACATATGGATCTAATATAGGGTTTGGTGTTTAGATAAGATATAGGCAAAAAGACGAGAGGAATTATGGGATTTTAAGTGAATGTATGTGTAATTTGGAGCCAGAGTTCAGAGGACATGTCTCGTGTTATGTCCAGGGATTCTTTGGACTTTTATAAGACACTTTTAATGCAGCTCAGGATTTAGAAGTCTGTGTTTTGTTTTGTTTTCTCATTTACTCTTACAAGTGTCTGTAGAGCCGTGCGATTTGAACTTTTTTTTGTTTTGTTTTTTTGTTTAATTTTTAGTTTTATTTAAACCAATTAACAGCGGCTTTTAATATTACACTGCAAAAAACGAAATCTAGCCAAGTTAAGTTTTATCATGATTTGAGTACGTTTCACTTGACAAAAGTATTTTTTGGTATATTTTACCAAATTATTTTGTTACAGCTACAGTTTTGTTGTTTGTTGGGATAAGACTCCTAACCAGGATAAGACTCAAAACAGGAATAACAGGAATAAGACTCATAACCGGGATAAAAAACGCACTCAAAAGGAAAAACAGCATCACATTCATCTGAAAACCTCCCACACCTGATTTTTACGATCTTAGACAGAATTAATTCATCTGAAACTTGCAGCGGTCCAAAGTTTTTCCTCACTTCCACATATTCTGAGCACACTAATCATTCTTTTCCGAACTACTTATCGCGCTGCCGTGTTTTTGTTTTGATTTTGGCAACAGAAGTGATCTTACGTTTAAGTCAAGAGGAGGCTTTAACATTTTTCTTAAGGATGAAATGATCTGTTTTGTGATAGTCCGCCGTGTCCTGTCTATATTCTATCCGTCTGAATCCCAACAGATCCTCGACTATAATTAACCATTTTAGGATTTATTCTTTGTTTCGTGGCCAGACAAAACACCAGCGTGCAGCCCATCTTCACTGCATTCTGTTTTTCTTTTAAATAAAACCCTCCTTTTGTCCGTCTCAGCTTGTCTAAATAAAGCTTTTGAAATATAATGTGCAGAGAATGCGCCAAAAATTGAATCACTAAAGATATTAAAGGTTCTATATTACGCAAAAATTGACTCTTGTGAGCTTTAAGTGTTATAATGTTGTTTCCTCGTCAAAAACAAACCCGGAGTTGTGTTTTGTTTCATTCACATGATTGAGTAACTCTTTATTATTACTCTGTTTACATCTCCGAAGCTCTGTTCCACCTTGTGATGTCATGAAGCTGTATTTTTCAAGTGAACGGCTACACTTTTAAATTGTGTTCCACAGAGATCGGCAATTCCAGGTCTGAAATAATCCAAGTGATTCTAGTGAAGGTGTTTGGAGTTTAAAAACACAGTGAAGCACTTCCTGTATTACTACGTGACATCACAAGGTGGAACAGAGTGTTTGGTGAGAACTCAACAAAACAAAACTCCAGGTGTTTGTGATGAGGAAACAATGTTATAACCAGTGACGGGAATAATGGCGTTAAAATAAACATCTTTACTTTTTTCAGTAACAAGTAATCTAACCAAACACCTTCACTAGAATCACTTGGATATGTTCTCTAGTTTATGAAACTGTTGACCTTTTTTCTGTACCATTTTTGGTTCTAAAGTTCCATATGTTTTAAACAGACCATGTATGAAACATGGAACAAAAATTATTTCCCAAATTTCAAAGACCTGAAAATCATGTCAATAAATGGATGTATTTCATCATATCTTGTGTTATTCCATCTTTGAACTGTTGATGAAGGGACATGATTTTTTTTTTTTAAATGTATTTAAAATGATAAAAATTTGCTTGGAAGGACTGACATATTTTATAGAAATAGTTTCCTTTCATTTTGAAGTAATATTAAAGTATTCAGAAGAAAAAAGCGACAAATGATGTAAAATCCTGCACCTTCTACTTGTTTGTACAATTTTCCCTCCGTTACTTTTCCCTCCGTTACCATGACCTTTCTTAATAAAAAATCTCATGAGTCAAAAAGTAAGAGGTTTTTCAACCTAATCTTGTACCATATGGTAGAAAAACTATATGAAGCAAATATTCAAACCAGTTTGTTAAGGATATGGAAGTGAGAACCAAGAGTTATCACTGTTTGGATTTATTGACCAAAAAGTGCTGCATATTTCATTCCCTCTGTTACCGACATGAGTTTTTTACATTTTTTGTCAACAACTTGAAAGAATATCACAGGTTTAACTTGACCCTGTTGGAGTGTAACTCTTTCCTACATTCTGATACTTTACTTATTTCAATAGTTCCTCTAGTTTCTGAATAAGAGACATTTGAATGTCAAAAATCTGCCCCTGTTTCTCTACTGTTACTGCTTGACTGGACCCTTATAACTAATTATACTTTTTCAAAGTAATGTGACTAACACTGGTTATAACAACAGTGTAATGTGGATTTAAATGACAAAGTTCAGTGAGAATGAAGAGAAAGTAAAGCAGACATGTCAGACTCAGGCCCGGGGGCCAAATTTGGTCCGTGATATAATTATATTTATCCCTCGAGATCAAACATGTATTAGAGCTGCTCCACAGAGAGACATTATTTATTTAAAATGTTGTTATTTTTTTATATTATATTGCTCATATTATATTATTTGATATTATATTATGTTATATTATATTGTATTATATTATATAATGTTATATTCTGCTTGTTTTGGATTCAGTGTTTAAGTAAAACTATTTTTAAACGTTTATTTTAATAAGAAAAGGTTTAAGATTATATATGTTGTTGTTGAAATTTTTCAATAAATATTTAGTTTGACCCACGACTTAGTCCCAGTTTTTAACTTTGGCCTCTGTGAATTGAGTTTGACTCCGATGATGTAAAGGTAAGAGTCATCTGAGGTAAAACTGATAAACTAGAACAGAAATTATTTTGTGAAGAGTTTGAAAAATACGACTGAAGTCTGAGTTTGGCTCCTGTAGGAAAGTCTCTCTGTCATGAAATAATAAACAACTTCATGAGTCTGAGGGACCAGGACCAGATCCAGGAATATGGAAAAAAAAAAGAAAGATTCTAAACAAAACTAAAACTGAAACTGAAGATAGAGCTTTTCTGAACAGTTTTAGGAAGATTCTGAGATTTATCTGAACAAATATAAGATATAGTTCCAGTCTAGTCCCAGTTCTAGTCCTTCCCAGACCTAGTCCAGTCCTAATCCCAGTCCTGTCCCAGTTCAGTCCTTGTGTTAATCCCAATCCTGTCGTATTTCAGTTTTAGTCCTGGTCCCAATCCAGTCCCAGTTCTAGTTCAGTCTAAATCTAGTCCAGGCCTAGTCCACTTCTAGTCCAGTTCTAGTCCTCTCCTTGTCTAGTTTCACTTCTAATCTTGTTCTGTTCAGTTTTAGTCCAGTCCTTATCCTGTCCTAGGACTATTCACAGTCCAGTCCTAGTCTAGTCCAGATCTTCTCCTAGTCTTATCCTAGTCCAGACCTAGTCCAGTCTAAATCTAGACCTAGTCCAGTCTAAATCCAGACCTAGTCCAGTCTAAATCCAGACCTAGTCCAGTCTAAATCCAGACCTAGTCCAGTCTTAGTCAGGTTTTATATACTGAGGGGCAGAGTGAGAAAGAAGGGCATCCAGCAGAAGATGGACATGCAGTTTAGTCCTTATCCAGACCTAGTCCAGTCGTAGTCCCAGTCCTAGTCCCGGTTTTAGTCCCACTCTTAGCCCAGTTTTAGTTCAGTCCTAGTCCCAGTCCCAGTCCAGTCTTAGTCAGGTTTTACGAGGAAAAACGGCATCCAGCAGAGGATGAACATACAGTTTAGTCCTGTCCAGACCTAGTCCAGTTCTAGTCCCAGTTTTAGCCCAGTTTTATTTCAGTCCTGGTCCATACCTAGTCCAATCTAAAGCCAGTCCTAGTCCAGTCCTAGTCCAATCTAAATCCAGTCCTAGTCCAGACCTAGTCCAGTCCTAGTCCAGTCTAAATCAAGTCCTAGTCCAGTCCTAGTCCAGTCTAAATCAAGTCCTAGTCCAGACCTAGTCCAATCTAAATCCAGTCCTAGTCCAGTCCTAGTCCAGTCTAAATCCAGTCCTAGTCCAGTCTAAATCAAGTCCTAGTCCAGACCTAGTCCAATCTAAATCCAGTCCTAGTCCAGTCTAAATCCAGTTCTTGTCCAGACCAGGTCCAGTCTAAATCCAGTCCCAGTCCCAGTCCCAGTCTTAGTCCAGTTTTACGTACTGAGGGGCAGCGTGAGGAAAAACGGGAGCCAGCAGAGGATGAACATTCCGACAACGACCCCGAGCGTTTTGGCGGCCTTCTTCTCGCGGCTGAACTTGAGCAGTTTGACGGACAGCGTGCTCCGGCCCGCCGCGGCGTTCCCGGATCCTCGGAGCGCCAGGCTGGAGTCCTGGCTCCGGCAGTGGATCCGGAGGGTGAGTTCCCCGCTGGAGTTCTGCATCTGCTCCTTCATGACTCCGGCCTCCAGGTTTTTGGTGGTGCGCTTGGCCACGATGTAGACGCGGAAGTACATGGCGAGGATGACGGCGAGCGGGATGTAGAAGGAGCCGAGCGACGAGAAGAGAGCGTAGAAAGGTTCCTCAGTGATCAGGCAAACCGTGTCGTCCTGGAGACAAACAGTACAAAAAACATCCTGTATTACACGAAATTTAGTCTTGTGAGGTGGTTTTTAAGATCTGGACTGGACTGGGACTGGACTAGGACTGGAGTAGAACTGGACTAGGACTGGATTTAGACTGGACTAGGACTGGATTTAGACTGGACTAGGACTGGACTAGACTAGGACTGGGCTAGGACTGGACTAAAACTGGACTAGAACTGGACTAGGACTGGACTAGAACTGGACTAGGACTGGACTAGACTAGGACTGGGCTAGGACTGGACTAAAACTGGACTAGAACTGGACTAGGACTGGACTAGAACTGGACTAGGACTGGACTAGACTAGGACTGAGCTAGGACTGGACTAAAACTAGACTAGAACTGGAATAGAACTGGATTTAGACTGGACTAGGACTGGACTAGACTAGGACTGGACTAAAACTGGACTAGAACTGGACTAGACTAGGACTGAGCTAGGACTGGACTAGAACTAGACAAGAACTGGACTAGAACTGGACTAGTTCTGGACTAGAACTAGACAAGAACTGGACTAGAACTGGACTAGGATTGGATTAGAACTGGACAAGGACTGGATTTAGACTGGACTAAGATTAGACTAGAACTGGACTAAATTAGGAATAGACTAGGACTGGACTACAACTGGACTAGATCTGAACTAGGATTAAACTAGAACTGGACTAGGACTAGATTTAGACTGGACTAGGAGTGAACTAGATCTGATCTAGAATTGGACTGGAACTGGACTAAAACTGGACTAGATCTGAACTAGGATTAATTAGAAACTGGACTAGGACTGGATTTAGACTGGACTAGAACTGCACTAGGACTGGACTACACTAGGACTAGACTAGGCCTGGACTAAAACTGTATTAGAACTGGATTAGGGACTGGACTAGAACTGGATTAGGACTGGATTGAGACTGGACTAAATCTGGACTAGGTCTGGACTAGATCTGAACTAGGATTAGACTAGAACTGGACTAGGACTGGATTTAGAAAATTAGAAAATTCCGTGTGGATGGTACGAGACAATTCCCACAACGATGAGACTTGAGTTTGGCTCCGGAAAAACAAAATTGTGACTAAATTCCCAATTTTGGTCTCGTGTTTTTTTTCTTTTTTTGATTGACGTTGTTGTTGTGATTCCGGAAGTTCTTTTTGCACGAGTAAGACAAGCGACTCACCAGAGTTTCACCATATTTGTCCAGTCCAAATGTAAAACACGTCTCACCGGATCTTTATCTTTCTCATGTCCGCAACATCTTTTGGGAATTTGGGAATTTTGGTTGAAACTATTCCATAAATTGTTCTTTTCTGCCTCTTTTAATCAAGGCCTTCGCTGTTGAACATTTTTGCTTTTGTTTAGTTTTTTTAATTCACAAACTTTCTCGTACAATTGATTCATCGTTTAAACGTTCTGTATTAGTCTGTCAGCATCTCCAAACCTCTAAACGCTCTGTTCCACCTTGTGATGTCATGAAGTGGTAGTTTTCAAGTGAACAGCTCCTTTAAACTTTAGTTCAGGAGAGATCGGAAATTCCAGGACTGAAATGATCCAAATGATTCTAGTGAAGGTGTGTGGAGTTTAAAAAGACTTGGACCTGGACTAGAACTGAACAAGGACTGGACCAAAACTGGACTAGGACTGGACCAAGACTGGACTAGGACTGGACTAAAACTGGACTAGGACTGGGACTCAGCCTGGGACTAGGACTGGGCTAGGTCTAGACTATACTGGACTAAGACTGGATTTAGACTGGATTAGGACTGGGACTTGGACTGGAACTAAAACTGAACTAGGACTGGATTTAGACTGGGATTTGGATTGGGATTAGTACTGGCCTAGACTAGGACTGAATTTAGACTAGACTAGGACTGGGACTTGGACTGGGCCTATGACTGGACTAAGACTGGCCTAGAACTGGATTTAGACTGGACACAAACTGGACTAGGTCTTAACTTGGACTAGACTAGGACTGAAATAGACTAGGACTGGATTTAGACTGGATTTAGACTGGACTAGGACTGGGACTTGGACTAAACTAGGACTAGACTTGGCCTGAACTAAGACTGGACTAAAACTGAACTAGGTCTGGACTAGGACTGGATTTAGACTGGACTAGGACTGGATTTCTAGGACTGGATTTAGACTGGATTAAGACTGGACTAGGGCTGGACAAGGACTGGACTAGGTCTAAAGTAGAACTGGACGAGGATTGGACTAGAACTGGACTAGACTAGGAACGGATTTAGACTGGACTAGGTCTGGACTTGGACTGGACTAGCCCCAAACTAGGATTGGACTAGAACTGGACTGGACTACTTTAGACTGGACTGGAGGAAAGAACATTTTAACAAATCAGAAAATATCTTCACACAAAAGCTTTAAAATAGGAAATAACTCTTCACCAGAACCTGAGAGAAACTTTCTCAAACTCTGGTCACAGAAACAACAACTGTGGCCTTTTTGACATTTTCCATTTCACAAATTAAAACTCTAAATCTTAAATCAAATATACAAGGCTGTGGAAAAGCCTAAAGCTACAAACAGGTTAAATATAGTTTAGTGTGATGTGAACCCGAGGCCCGGCTGCTGTTTGTGTTTGAAACTGTGAGGAAAAACAATTAAGAATCTGCACGAGGCCAAGACGGAAATACAGGGGAAAAAAAGAGTATAATCCGATGGACTCTAGGAATTAAAGGAACAGTTTGGAATTTTGCACATAGGAGCTCATTTCTTAGTGATCCAGAGTGTTGGAGACGTGTGGAGACACTTTTTAAAATATCCCATCCAGTGGTGGAGCTGCATTTCACACCTCGGCCTTCAGTAGTTCGGTCTGAAACAATCCACTCCTCAAGAACTAGTTTATGGTTATAAAAGCTTCTTATTTTACAGAAACACAGTTGAACTAAATTAGAACTAAATCAGGAATGTTTGTCGGGACGGGCCTGAAGGTGCGCCCGCGTAGTTGGGTTACCGCAGACGAAAGGACCGTGCCGGGGCCGGGGCTCCACGGCGCCGCACACGGGGCTCCACGGCGCCGCACACGGGCCACACGGGGCCACACGGGGCACACGGGGCCACACGGGGCCACACGGGGTCACACGGTACGACTCTGCACCACATGGAGCTCAGTGCAGCTGTTGCCCGATCGTGCTTTGTGGACACTCTGCTCTGTTTGGGGGGGTCCTCTCTCTCTCTCAAATCCAACATTAGTCCTGGTTTAGTCCTGGTATAGTCCTGATATAGTCCTGATATAGTCCTGGTCTGGTCCTGGTTTAGACCTGGTTTAGTCCTGGTTCCATTACAGCTGCAGTTTGCTGCTTTGATTGGTTCGCTCTCTGTCCAATCACGGGTTTGAATCCAGTGACGTTGACCAATTCAAAATCTGACTGGTTGAAGCAACAGTTGAAGCAACTGCCTAAGAAATCATCCTGAGTTTACAGAGAACATTTTGTATGTGGAGCGACAACAAAACAAAATCCCGTTTGTTAAGTGAGAGGAGCAGAAGACAAACAGACTGAACTGCACTTTCTTGTTCTTGTGGTTTTACAGAAACATCACGTCTTGGTCTCTTTGCAGTGGAAGGTGTTTCTTTGTGAACAGCTGGAGACTTTCACTTTGGCGTTGACTTTTTAAATTCGTAACCAAGATTGAGTGAGGGATCGGGATTTTGTTCCACATACAAAATGTTCTCTGTAAACTCGGGATGATTTCTTAGACAGACAAATGTTTCCTTTTTGGTCCTTCTTGTGGATCAATCCTGCCCATCACCTTCACCTTTCACTATTTTTCAATTCCGTTGGGAACAACCACACAATTACAATGTCTGAATCCCAAAACTAAAATATGACAATATCAGAACCAGAAACAAAAGTGATATAATTCAAAAGACTAGAAAAGATCGACTTTGACAATAGACACATCCCACTGGGAAAACAAACATGGAGGTTTGATGCTCACTTTTTCAGAAAATCCTTCCCAGTATGAATTGCATGATGACCAGAAGTCTGAAATTCATGATGCATGTATTCCATCCAGTCCTTGTATTTGCAGAGGTCACTGGTGTTAGTCTAGTGCATGTCAATAGTCATAGTTTATCCTGCCACTAAAAACAGTCTTCCCCACTCCACAAAACAAGAAAATCTATTATTACACCAGACTGTCTAAATGATAACATAACGATCCAGACACAAGCTCAATAAAATGTCTTCTTTAACAAAATAACGTCTGAAGTGGAATATTACAGGAGACGGCTGCTTGATGATGCATTGTGGGTAGTGTAGTCACCTGTGATGGAGGCTGCTTCCACCCGAGCAGAGGCCCGATGGAGATGACGATGGCGAGGACCCAGACGCCGAGCATGGCCAGCAGGGCGCGCTGTTCCGTCACGATGGACGGGTACTGCAGCGGGTAGCGGACCCCGATGTAGCGGTCGATGGAGATGACGCACAGAGACATGATGGAGGCCGTGCAGCAGAGGACGTCCACCGCCGCCCAGATGTCACAGAAGATACGGCCGAACACCCACGAGTCCAGCACCTACGGGCGAGAGGAGGCGAGGAATGTTGCATAGTATGGCATTAGACATTTTAAGCTTGTATTTAACACAATTTTCAGACTATAAACCTCACTGGATCGTGTATCATTCGTTCATTTGTTTTTCAATATAAAACCAAAAATAAGAAAATGAAAAAACAACAGTTTTCTTCATTATTTGTCTCCAAAACCAAAATGAAAAAACAGATAATGATTCGTTTTTTGTCTTCGTCTTGTAACTGTGACTGGAGCTTTATCTGAGTGGAGCTGAACACTGTGGAGACGACACACTCACATAGGCTACGTTCAGACTGCAGGGCTTAACGCTCAATTCCTATTTTTTTGTGAAATCTGATGTTTTTGCGAGGTCGTTCACATTTGCAATTAAATGTGACTTGTATGTGACTCCAGTGTGAACATTAAACGGCCCAAAAGTGTCCCACATGTGACACTGGAGACACGACGACGTCAACCGCAGCCTGGAGATTTTAAAGTTCCTCTCATACCGGAGCCAGAACATGAACAACTTACTTGTTTTAAGGAGGAGATTGAGAAGAAGAAATACGAGGTTTTTGGTCGTGGTGTTTTGTGGTTCAGTCTGTTGAAAGGAATGTGTGGATGTGGAGACGGAGCCAAGAGTGGTGAGTGGTGATGTGCTTCACTTCAGTGACACAGAGTTCATTCACAATTTTCGCCTACTTCAGAGCAGAATAGTGACGTTTGTGTCTTGTTGATAACGTGTAGGTGGATGAATGCACTTTGGCCGTTCACGCTGAAGTCACATGTCAAAAGATCAGATATGTATCAGTTTCAGGAGCACATATCCAAGTGTCCTGGGTCACATTTGAAAAAATCAGATCTGTGTCGTTCAGTCTGTCATTAAAAGATCAGATACAGGAACATAGGGGCTCAAAAAATCGGATTTGGGTCACTTCAGGCTGCAGTGTGAACGCAGCCTAAGCCCACTTCTTTATACAGTCTATGGTCTGTCTACATGAATGTCAAGAAGTTGTAGTTTTCAAGTTAACAGCTACAACTTGAAGGTGTATGGAGTCCAAAAACATAGTGGAGCACTTCCTGTATTGTACTGTACATGACATCACAAAGTGGAACAGAGTGTTTCTAGTTTGAGAAGAAGTCAGTTAAACATGTGAATGAAATAAACACATCTGCAGGTCTGTTTGTGACGAGGAAACGACATTAGAACATAAATCATAAATAAGAATAATCTGGAGTCTATAAAAACCTTTGTGGTGTCCTCTACTGCACTTTTAATAAAAACAAACACAAAATATAAACTGGCTTCTCTCACTTCATCTCTGTGTGAACGAGAGCAGCTGCCAATCACCCGTGGAAGAGCTGCGGACGCAAAATATCTGAGATTTTTCCCTGATTATCGGATTGAAAGTGCCCACGGCGTTGTTATCTTTTACCCAAAACAATTAATCAGAACTGTGAGCTCCCGAGTCACGTTTGTTTATGTTGGATTCATTATTTTAGCACGAAAAACAACCACCAGACTCATTCAGGATGAACGTGAGAGTTTGTGTTACTCTTTTAATGTAAAAAGTGTCAATGTAAAGTAAAAATTTATGTAAGTATATTGAAAAAAAGGATCGTCCACCTGCTCATCTCTATTCAGATGTTATTATTCTGTCTGGAATGTTCCCTGGTACGACTTTAAACTGATCCTTGAAGCATTTATTCATTAGAAGTGTTTCTGTTACTCAAAAATACAGTAATTCCTTCTGTAAAAAGGGGCGACTCTCCACAGATCTGACCTGTAATGTAGCGTAGTGCTGTAAACTGCTCGCCTCCCTCGCGATAAATAGGTTTAATCTACACTGTGGAACATTCTAGACAAAGCAACAGCATCTCCATGGAAACAAGCACATGACAAACGTTACGCAGTGCAGCTTTAAAAAGAGGGTCGGCACCTTGCTAAGTACATTAAATGCTCTAAATATAAAGCCACACTGTGTAAAACACCAAGTAACTAAAACCGAAAAGGTGGCCAGACCTCCTCCAGAGAAGTGACATTTTAACTACAAGACAAAAAATAAATGTAAAAATGAATTAAAAAGGACCATATTATGCTTTTTTCCAAACTAGAGGTCTGCTTGCCCGCTCCCGCAAAGAATTGTAATTTTCAGTCCCGTTCCCGCCCGCATTTGCGATATTTTGTCCCGCTCCCGTCCACAAGTCCCACAGGATGGGAACCTTTGCTTTCTTAAAGCTTCATCAAACATGGAGAAGTGAAAAGAATTGGGCTGCGTATGGGATTAGTCCTGGTTTAGTTCTGGTTTAGTTCTGGTTTAGTGGCGCAACCCGCACCATTCAGTGTAGTGAAGACATTTGAGAAAAGAAACAGCCACTTCACAAGTGGATGTACTGACACAGACGAGAGAGCAACACAGGACCACAGTCTGCAGTGCATCTCCACTTAAAAGCCATGGGCCGCTCCTTTCAGGACAGTGAGGTACAGATCTGAGCCAGAGAAAAGTATTGGTTTGAGAGGGGGGTTAAAGAGGCTGTTTTTGTTAGGAAAGAGAATCCATCTTTGAACAGAAATGGAGGCTTCAGACATCAACTATTACAACTCCATCCTCAAACCTAATCAAAACAAGGAAAAAAAACAATAGTGATAGTCAGGTCAGGTCCAGAGGTCATTACGATCATAAACGAAAACAAAAAATCCTTAAACTTTTCATCTCATTACTGTTTATTTAGTACAATCATAAACGATAAACTTTGTGCCTACCATAACATTATTATTAGTTAGTACCACCATAAGAAAATATGTTTCTGCATGTGTGTATATGTGTGTTATGCATATGTGTATAAACATTTATAATGAGTATATATACTGGATATCTATGATGTGTATATGTATGTATGTGTGTATGTTTCCGCATAATGACAGGTAAACACTCCAAAGGTGTGCTTAAAAAAAAAAAGTGTGAACCACGTGATTATGTAAAACAATTGGGGTAGGAGTCTATAAGTTTTTTAAACTTCATCCTCCTCCTTTTGAGCACCAGGTCCCAAATATGTTCATGTACATGTCACTATTTTTGATATTGAATAAATAAATAAATGAAATAAATGTAAATAAATGAGGTGTGAGTTCAACAGGCTGAGCTAACAAACAGAAACTGTAAACAAGTAGGTGTTAGTTTCAGAGTAGTTTCAGTGTAGTTAGCTCCTCCTGCAGACAGATATAAGGAAGTGTCCACCAGAGTCTGACCAGAACTGAAGAAGCAGCTTGGATGATCTGAAAAATGTATTTGACCAAATAAACTAAGTTGAATTTCTCCTTTTGCCTTTGGATTCTACCTGGACGACTGACAGATTTGACACATCACGCCAAAAAAGAAGTGGACTGAGTGAGTGTGACGCCACCCACAGCGTTCAGCTCCAGTCAAATGAAGCTCATCGAGGCTAACGGTTATAGGAGTAGGAATTTAAGAATAATAAAATCACTAGGATCATGTAGAGCAGGTTAATGCAAACATTTTAAGACCAAATTTCCAAGGCTCACAGCTGCAGTTACGGAGTCTATGGTCACGCTTCAAATGTTGTAATTCAGGCCTAGTGCAGATTAAAACTAAAATATGACTAAACTACACTACGCAAAGGCTGAACAAAGATTAAACATGAGCTTCAGAACAGGTCCACTCAGGGGTTAAACCAGGACTACGCTTGAAGTGTGTTTTGAGTGATCAGTGCATCAGAGTGTGAGAGGAAATGGAGCCTGAAAAAGCAGCTAATGACCTGAGCTTAACTGAGGAGACCTGTTTCTTTAAAGCTCCTATATCACGCAAAATTGACTCTTGTGATCTTTAAGCTGTGTTATAACTCTCTTACCGCCTCAAAAACAGACCGGGAGTTGTGTTTTGTTTCATTCTCATGCGTCGGTAATCCTTTTTTATTAATCTGTCTGCATGTCCAAAGCTCAAAATGCTCTTTTCCACCTCGTGATGTCATGAAGTTTTCAATTTAACACCTCCTTTTACCTTTAGTTCAGTAGATATCTGCAAATTCCTGGTCTGAAATTATGCAAATGATTCTAGTGAAGGTGTGTGGAGTTTAAAAACGCAGTGGAGCTCTTCAATCCAATCCACGTTACTTCTACAGCACATTTTATAAACGTGACAGTTTCCAAAGTGCTGCACAGACAAATTAATACAATAAAAGACAGTAAATCATAAAAACAATAAATAAAAAATGTTAAAATGCAAAAAGATAAAAACAAAAAAAAAGAAAATAATTAAAAATAAAATAATACAGAAAGTAAAATAATTAAAATAAAATAATACAAAACGTAAAATAAATAAAATAACATAAAACAAAACGTAAAATAAATTAAATTAAATAATGCAAAACATAAAATAAATAAAATAAAATAATACAAAACATAAAATAAACAAAACAAAACCAAATAAAATGGGAGCACACAACTCACACAGTGTTAAAAGCCAGAGAGTAAAAGTGGGTCTTAAGACGAGACTTAAAACTCTCCACTTCCTGTATTACCAATAGGGATGCCACAATATTCAATATAATATCGAATCGTTTGATAACGGTGTCATGATTCGATACACGTGTTCAGTCAATACACAAAAGTCCCTCCATGTGCGCTGTGTTGTCATTTATTTTGGTCTAAAAGGAAAACAGTTATCGAGGCGTCCTCCTCAGATGCAACAAGAAAACAGCTTCTTCTAACAGAGGAGAGTTTGATCTTTCAGTCACTTTTTATTTTACATTGATAGATCCAGAAATGACAAAGAGATGAACTTTTAAATACTTTAGAATCACTTTTGACTTCACATCAGCTTTAATCAAATGCGCTCACATCCGCACCCACGACTCGACTCGAGATATACAACATCTTTTTCTCAGACTCATAAGTTTTTGTCAGAAAACATTCTGTTGAGACATTTCTATGTGATATAAAATAGTTTGTGTGTCCAGACGTGAAAAGTTAAGGAATGGAGAAGTTGGAAACGTAAGTAAAAGTAATTTATTGTTTTATCATTATTTCTTTCACGTTGTAGTTCTTCTTCTTCTTCACTTGCCGCTTGATCGATCCGTTGGAAAATAGAGTCCCGCGGTCACTTCCGTTGTGGCTTTTTGATGTGTTGTGGCTTTTTAATGTGTTGTGGCTTTTTAATGTGTTGTGCCATTTGCGTTTGTGTTGTGGCGTTTGTATTTGTTGCGGCGTTTGCATTAAAATAGAGTCTCGCGGTCCTTTCTGTTGTGGCTTTTTTTGGTCTGTTGTGGCTTTTTAATGTGTTGTGGCATTTGTATTTGTATTGTGGCTTTTTTGTGTTGTGGCTTTTTTATGTGTTGTGGCTTTATAGTGTTTTGTGGCTTTTTAATGTGTTGTGCCATTTGTGTTTGTGTTGTGGCTTTTTGATTTGTTGTGGCTTTTTGATGTGTTGTGGCAATTGCGTTTGTGTTGTGGCGTTTGTATTTGTTGCGGCATTTGCATTAAAATAGAGTCTCGCGGTCCTTTCTGTTGTGGCTTTTTTTGGTCTGTTGTGGCATTTTAATGTGTTGTGGCTTTTTAATGTGTTGTAGCATTTGCGTTTGTATTGTGGCTTTTTTATGTGTTGTGGCTTTTTTATGTGTTGTGGCTTTTTTATGTGTTGTGGCTTTATAGTGTTTTGTGGCTTTTTAATGTGTTGTGCCATTTGTGTTTGTGTTGTGGCTTTTTGATTTGTTGTGGCTTTTTGATGTGTTGTGGCAATTGCATTTGTGTTGTGGCGTTTGTATTTGTTGCGGCGTTTGCATTAAAATAGAGTCTCGCGGTCCTTTCTATTGTGTCTTTTTTTGGTCTGTTGTGGCTTTTTAATGTGTTGTGCCTTTTTAATGTGTTGTGGCATTTGCATTTGTATTGTGGCTTTTTTATGTGTTGTGGCTTTTTTATGTGTTGTAGCTTTTTAGTGTTTTGTGGCTTTTTAATGTGTTGTGCCATTTGTGCTTGTGTTGTGGCTTTTTGATTTGTTGTGGCTTTTTGATGTGTTGTGGCATTTGCGTTTGTGTTGTGGCATTTGTATTTGTTGCGGCGTTTGCATTAAAATAGAGTCATTTCCGGTTGTGGCTTTTTTTTGGTGTGTTGTGGCTTTTTGTTGTGTTGTCGCATTTGTATTTGTTGCGGCGTTTGCGTTTGTTGTGACCCCTCTCGGCTTCCGTAGATTTGGCTCGATTAGTTTTATTACTTTCTGAACATCTGCCTCCCACCTCGTATAATAACACATCATTTGCCGTAGTGAATGTTTGTTTAGGTTTAGCGGGGATCTTGAACGCCTCATGAGAATAAATCCTGCTGCTGCTGCGTTTGGGCTCGAGCCACAGAAAGAGCCTTTGTTTCATCAGATTCAGAATTTTAAACGCCAGCGAATTTTCTTTTTAAACCCCTGAAAAACCTGCTTTATTTTTATTCGGAATGTGTTTTTGAAAAGGATTCAAATTCAAAAGGAAAATTCAGCTTATAAATGTTGAACGTGTTTATTTTCAGACCCTAAAATTTATCCATTTAAATTCAGAATACAAATAATTCAAATTATTTTACAGCTATTTTATGATTTTTATGATTTTGCTTTTAATACCTGGTCCCCAAAGTGTTGACCAGGTTTTGTATTCACCCTGTGTGTGTGTGTGACTGTCAACAAATTTGGTCAACAAATTTGGTACATGGGTCAAGCCCTCGTGCCCGAAAAAAGAAAAAAAAAAGTTTGGTGATGATCCGAGGTCATTTGAGGTCACACGGGTCAATTGAAAGGTCACGTCATTATAAAGGATTTAGGCAATTTCGGCAATTTCTGAACCATCTGCGACCTAAAATATTCACCCAATCATCACACAAGTTGGCAGTTGGTAAGGTCAAATATGTGTTTTTGGTCATAATTCTGCGAAGGATCGAGTTAGAGCAACGGGAGTGTCTCAAAATCTCAGAAAAATTATTATCTATTTATAATTCTATGTATTTGTATTGTCAAATATTAATAGTTTTCCAGATAATCACTAATTATAACAGTTCCTTTCTCTTTCAGTGTAGCCGTTAAAATTCTAATTGGAATGAAAATAATTCCCATTTCTTGTTTTTCTGGTGAAACACAACACACTGATCTACAGTCACACAACGAACACACACACAACTCATGAAAAATGATATTTTGGTTCCACACTAGTAAACACAGACATTCCCATGTGTGACCAATATCACACTAATGTTCATGGGCCTGTACACATACACACATTACATTGTGGATATAACGATCATGGGTCTGGTCAAGTGGTAATGGAGGGAAACAGTTGCAGATTTTTGACATTCAAATGTCTCTTATTCAGAAACTAGAGGGACTATTGAAATAAGTAAAGTATCAGAATGTAGGAAAGAGTTACACTCCAACAGGGTCAAGTTAAACCTGTGAGATTCTTTCAAGTTGTTGACAAAAAAATTAAAAACTCATGTCGGTAACAGAGGGAATGAAATATGCAGCACTTTTTGGGCAATAAATCCAAACAGTGATAACTCTTGGTTCTCACTTCCATATCCTTAACAAACTGGTTTGAATATTTGCTTCATATAGTTTTCTACCATATGGTACAAGATTAGGTTGAAAAACCTCTTACTTTTTGACTCATGAGATTTTTTATTAAGAAAGGTCATGGTAACGGAGGGAAAAGTAACGGAGGGAAAATTGTACAAACAAGTAGAAGGTGCAGGATTTTACATCATTTGTCGCTTTTTTCTTCTGAATACTTTAATATTACTTCAAAATGAAAGGAAACTATTTCTATAAAATATGTCAGTCCTTCCAAGCAAATTTTTATCATTTTAAATACTTTTTTTTTTTTTTTTTTGAAAAATCCTGTACCTTCATCAACAGTTCAAAGATGGAATAACACAAGATATGATGAAATACATCCATTTATTGACATGATTTTCAGGTCTTTGAAATTTGGGAAATAATTTTTGTTCCATGTTTCATACATGGTCTGTTTAAAACATATGGAACTTTAGAACCAAAAATGGTACAGAAAAAAGGTCAACAGTTTCATAAACTAGAGTACATATGTATCTGTTCAATACATTTTTATATCAGATGCATTAACTTGAATTTTTGGCCTTGTTGTTTACTTCTGCTTGACTGGGCCCTCATGTAATATGGGCTGGACTCCTCATAAACTGCTTCTGTGCTGATGAACTAACCCACCGATGCCTCATGGGGATCAGGTTGTTATTTCTGATTGAGCTTGTTTTTATCTTACTTCACACTATTGCTATCTTTTTTTAGAACTTACTATTAACATTTATATTTTCTACTGTTTGTTATTGTATTATATTGTGATGTGTGAGTGTCTGTGTCCAAATAATTTCCCTTGTGGATCAATAAAATCTAAGTTATTTCATAAAATATATAAAAAATACTCTTGGCGATATATCAATACAACCGCTCATGATATCGATACTGTATAATCACATTAAACGATACGATATTTTGACATTTTGCCGGTTGTTCTGACCTCAAGCGTGGCGGACACAGGCAGGACGGTGGTGCCCAGGAGCAGGTCGGCGATGGCCAGGTTTATGATGAAGTAGTTGGTGGGGGTCCGGAGGTGACGGTTACACACCACGGCCAGGATCACCAGGATGTTCCCCACGATGGCGAACAGGATGAAGGAGGCCAGGACCACGCCGACGGGGACCGCACGACCCAGCGACAGGACGGGGACAGGGACGGCAGGCGTCACGTTCACAGGCGGCAGGTCCAGGGAGGAGGAGGAGTTAGAGGAGACGTTTGGAGAAAAGAGGAGGTAAAGGCTGGAGTTGGTCATGGTGATGGTCTGAGGAGAGGAACGTGAAGACAATTGAGTGATTCTGGTTCGAAAACTTTACAGAAGACGTCGTCAACATTTGGTTCAGGGTCATCGCCTAATCTTGTTTCTATGGATACGTCTTTGCCAGTGTTGGGACGTGTTATAAAAGTAACGAATTACAATAATACTTTGCTTTTTGTTGTAACGCTGTAATGTTCGGCATTACAGGGAAAAAAAACTGTAATATTTTACTCGGTACAAATGTGAGTAAAGAGCGTCACAAAGCTTTTTTAACCTGACTGAAGTGGTGGGTTTTACAAAGTCACGATATCAATAGAGGTGAAACGCAGGAGACACGCCTGTGTAGACCGTCAGGTGACCGCGGGCGAAAGGACCGACGCAGAACTCCACGCTCCACGGGACGAAGAGCAACCGACGCTGGATCGAGGTTTGCAGACGCCCTGTTCCACGGACTCGGGGTTCTCCCAGGGGCGAAACTAGATTCCAAGTTCTAGTGCAAGATTAGTCCCGGTTTAGTCCTGGTTTAGACCTGGTTTAGTCCTGGTTCAGTCCGGGTTTAGTCCTGGTTTAGTCCTTGTTTAGTCCTGGTTCAGTCAAGACCGATTTTAAACTAAAGACGTTTGGAAATAATCAGAATAGCCTCATTACAATGAGATTTCCATGAGTGTGGCAACCCTGCCTATAAAACATTAAACCATTATCCATTTATCAGTGCATGAAGTTCAAAATAACACATTTACAACAGGGATTAATCAAATTAGAGTTATTCAATTGTTTAATTCAAAAAATGGTGAGCTATTCAGGTTGTAGAGAGCTGCTGTTCTCTCCCGAGCTACAGGTTGGAGACCCCTGATGTACAGTGTATATTGTGTCGTATATTGTGTCGTATATTGTGTCGTTGTATATTGTGTTGTGTGACTCACTTTTGAATCGGCCAATCGATCAGTGGGCAGAAGGTTTTTATGGGAATGACACACAGAAAAAAAAGCATGACCTGACAAAAATCCACCGATCCAAACGTTGTCATTCATTAAATTCTGTTTGGGAGAAAGTGCGCAGGCTTTGTTTTCGCTTTCTAGAACGTTTAAAACCAGACTCTGAAACACTGATTGATATGTTTTTATTTCTAGTCTGTGCCAAGAGGGAAACAATAATCATAAACAACATACTACAAAGCACATTTCTCAAAAGGGAGTGGGAAGAAGAAAAAAAAACGTGTACTAACCCACCCCTGTTCATGACATAGCTTCAAAAATTCAAAAATGATGTGGTTGCTTCTGTACACGGATGACGAAACTTTACTATGCATACTAAATATAGTTTTAACCCAATTTCTTCTTTTTTTTAATATATTTTTTGCATTGTACTGTATTATGGTCGTACAAACTAATAAAAATGATAAAAACGGCACAAAAGTTTATCATTTATGATCGTATCAAAATAAGCAAATTGAGAATGAAGAATGTATGGATTTAGTTTTTTTGTTCATTTATGGTCGTACGAACTAATAATAAAGTTAACGAAGGTGCAAAATTTATCGTTGATGATCGTATCAAAATAAAATGTAAAGTTAAAAAAGCTTGTGTTAATTGATAGTCGTGGTTTTACTTGTGAAGACATTGGATCTAGTCTCCTACGTTTTTCTGTAAGATTTGATTCAAACGTTCTAGACAAAGCGAGAACACCTCCATGGAGAATGAGAAAAGCATTTGACGGACCTTCCACCAGAAAAGTTACACAATGCACCTTTAACAGCACAAATCAGCTCATCTGTTCAAGTTCCAAACAAGACTTTCGTTTGGTCACAGAGCTCGGATTAAAGTCTAACTTGAGAACAGATCTTGCAGGGAATACTGATGACGTCGGCTGCAAAGTATCGATTTTTAGTATTTAGATTTTGAGTTTTAAGTATTATCGGACTGTTACTATGATCTATCGTTGGTCACATGACTCCTGCTTGTTCAGTTACGTCATGGAAGAGTTCACGAGAGCGACACGTAAAACAATAACTGCATTTAGTTTGGCGTTAACGAAAACTCCAACATGAGGAAGTCATGAGGCAACAGGGATTTACCAACATAAAGCCTTTATATTTCTCTGTTTTAGGGCTGGGGATCATTAAGAAGTCGCCGATATGATACATATCTCGATTCAGTGAGCTTTCGATTCGATACGATTCAATAAAAAATAAAGACTAAATCATGTCTGTGATACTAAAAGTCTTTGTTAATCCACTTCTTGTGCAAAGTTCATATGAAACACAAACATTTTAATCATCAAAACAGAGAAAATGTCAAATGTGTCGCATAAATGAGTTTTCTTCCTCTGAACAAACAACAAAACTGTAGCTGTAAAAAAAAATTTAGTAAAATAAACCAAAACATACTGCAGAAGCCCACGATATCGATACTGTGTCATGACATTAAACTAGAGATGTAACAATAATCCATGTGTCATTTGTTCATTTGTTTTTCAATATGAAACTAATATGAAAATTAAGAAAATAAAAAACAGTTTTCCTCATTATTTGTCTCCAAAACCAAAATGAAAAAGCAGATAACGATTAGTTTTTTCACTTTTCGATTTTGTGTTTAAATGAAGAATGGAAAAAACAGATAACGGTCGTTTCCCGTTTATGCAATGCCAAACACTGACTGAACCAGGACTGAACCAGGACTGAACCAGGACTGAACCAGAACTGAACCAGGACTGAACCAGGACTGAACCAGGACTGAACCAGACTGAACCAGACTGAACCAGGACTGAACCAGACTAACCCAGGACTGAACCAGGACCAGGACTGAACAGGACTGAACCAGGACTGAACCAGGACTGGGACCAGACCGAGACTGAGATCAGACCAGGAACAGAGCGGGACTGAGATGAAGACCAGACCAGGACCACACCGGGACCACACTGGGACCACACCGGGACTGAGACTGAGACCAGGCCGGGACCAGACCGGGACCAGACTGGGACCAGACCAGGACCAGACTGAGACTGAGACCAGGACTGAGACCAGACCAGGACCACACCGGGACTGAGACCGAGACCAGCCCAGGACCACACCGGGACCACACCGGTACTGAGACTGAGACCAGGCCAGGACAAGACCTGGACCAGACCAGGACCAGACCAGGACCAGACCGAGACTGAGACTGGGACTGAGACCGAGACCAGGCCGGGACCAGACCGGAGGTTCAGAGCCCACGGCAGGGCTGGAGCTCGAAGCTGAGGCTCGGACCCTGCGGAGGCTCGGAGTCAAAGCTCGGAGTCCACTCTGGTCCTGCTCTGGTCCTGCACCTGGATCAGTCCTGGTTCAGTCCGTACGCGGTGCAAAAGTTCGACATTGCAGTCACGGAAGTCACGTAAACGGGAAACGGCCGTTATCCATTTTTTCCATTTTTCATTTAAACATAAAATCAAAAACTGAAAGCAAAAAAGTGTCACATCTACTGTACAATTACATCAGTCTCTTCAAAATATCACAATAAATATCGTACTGAGAGATTTGGATATCGTTCCATCCCTACATTAAGCCGTACGATATATCATTATTTAGATATTTTTGCAACACAACTACTCGATTTTCTGATGTTCTAATGTTGTTTCCTCGTCACAAACAGACCTGGAGTTGTATTTTTGTTTCATTCACACACGTTTAATTAACGCACAAACCTGCAGATTTAGGCTGAGTTCTTTTCTCAAACTGAAAACTGCGGAAGCCGAGGGGTAACAACAAACGCAAACGCCACAACAAATACAAATGCGACAACACAACAAAAAAGCCACAACAGAAGTGACTGAGGGACTCTATTTTCTGACGGACCGATCAAGCGGCAAGTGAAGAAGAAGAACTACAACGTGAAAAGTAAAGGAATAGAGAAGTTGGAAACGTAAGTAAAAGTCATTTATTGTTTTATCATTATTTGTTTCACATTGTGGTGTCTTCATCCATCTCGACGCTTTGTTTACTGTTGTGCTGTTCCACAAAAGTGACACAGACGCCACCAGTTGGACGTCATGACTTCACAGCTCAGAGCTGATTGGTCGGTGTGCGGTCGACAACTTCCAGAGTTCTGATAAACCGTGTAGTGTATTCTGATTCTTGATCTAGTCACTGCAGAGAAATGAAACTGACTGACTGTGATTTTTTATCTGTGAAAGGTGCTATAAAAATAAAGGCTTATTTACTTACTGATTTACTAAAAAATGAGTCAAGTTTGTGTAACACAGCACCTTTAAATGTCAGAATAATCTCAAAATCTTACTAATACTACTCATTTCCATGAAGCAAGCAGCATGCCCTCCACCAGAAAAGTTACGTAATGCACCTTTATGATTTATGCTAAAATGTTTAGATCAAGTCTTAAAGATATGTGCACTGCAAAAAAAAAACAAAATCTAACATCAAGTTAAGACGATTTGAATTAAGAAAGTCTGATAATGATTTGAGTAAATTTCACTTGACAAGTCAAATAATCTGACAGTGGAACAAGATGTTTTGTACTTAAAATATCAAACAAAGTCAAATGTTGCTTGAATTAAGAAAAACACACTTACTCCATCAGAACGTCTCTTTTTCTACGGATTTTTGAGCTTTAAAACCACCGGTAATTAAATAAAAGTAAAGTAAAGAGTCACACTGTGGGACATTCCTGACCAAGCAGTGACGTATCCATGGAAACGTTGTGACAGCTTCCAAGTTGTGAAGTTCAATCGACTCAAATAAAGTAAAAAAATAAATAAATAAATTAGATATTGTTTTTGTTCAATGTGATGTAAATTTTCCAGTAGAGCGTCCATCAAATTCATTTAGATTATTATTATTTCTTTGTCTAGAATGTCCCGCAGTGTGGCATTAAACCTTTCTATTTTCACGGAGACCAAACTGGACCAAGCTACAGGTCAGATCTGCGGAGAGGCGACGCCGCTCTCGGTCAGAACGTCTGTTTTTCTACGGATTTTTGAGCTTTAAAACCACCGGTAATTAAATAAAAGTAAAGTAAAGATGTTTACTAAAGTCACACTGTGGGACATTCCAGACCGAGCACTGACGTATCCATGGAAACGTTGTGACAAATTCCAAATTGTGAAGTTGAATCGACTCAAATACAGTTAAAAAACAATATATATATATATATATATATATATATATATATATATATATATATATATATATATATATATATATATAGTAGTTTTCTAGTAGAAGGTCCATTGAATGCTTTTCTTCATTTAGATTATTATTATTTCTTTGTCTAGAATGTCCCGCAGTATGGCATTAAACCTTTCTATTCTATGGCGACCAAACCAGACAGAGCTACAGGTCAGATCTGTGGAGAGGCGGCGCCGCTCACAGTCAAAATGTCTGTTTTTCTACGAATATTTGAGCTATTTAAATAAATAAAAAAAACCACCTGTAAATGAATAAAAGTAAAGTAGAACTGTTTATTAAAGTCACACTGTGGGACATTCCAGACCGAGCAGTGACGTATCCATGGAAACGAGCAGGTGACGGACCCGCAACCAAAAAGTTAAACACTGTAGTGCACTTATAATGTCACAGAAAGGATTTTTATTTCGACATTTTGCATTTTATGGAGTTTAGTCTCTTTTTTTTATCCACTGAGTAAAAATTGAGGTAAACTGTTGGCGATTGCGTAACTGGAACGTTTGTTTTTCGACATGAGCCAATAAAACCGAATAACCGAGCCGATCTCATGTAAAAAAACAACATTCCCGAAGTATTTCAGTGGATAAACCGCTGCAGATTTAGTCGTAAGAGGCAAAGACAAAAACAACAATCAGACTCACCGAATAAAACGTAATAAAAGCGTCGATGTTTAATCCTTTAGTTGGTTGGAAATAAATCGTAGAATCCGCGTAAATGTCGCGTTAAAGTCCCATGTCGGTGCTGCGGCAGGTGTGCGCGGGGCTCCGGGGGGTTCAGCGGGAACACGCGGAGCTCACGCCGCGGATCAGCTCGTGTGCGCGGGGCTCGGAGCTGCTCGGGTGTCCGTGTCCTTTTATGGTTCAGAAGAATGTTTAACGTGGGAAAGAGGCAAAAAGGGAAAAAGAAAAAGAAGAGAGGAACGTGTGCATCTTGTCTGTGCGCGCGCGGAGAGGGGCAGTCCCACGCGCGGACTCACACTCTGCCGGTGTTCTGTCGAAATGAGCTCCCCGCAGCCCAGACTGACAGTGACGTGTATCGATCACGCTGCTCCGTCGAAATAAGCGACTTTACATGTTTCCGTTTACATTTGTATCGATCAGTGGTCACCAACCTTTTTCAGACAAAGATCTACATGCTTGGTCCGAGAGAAGAGCAAGAACCACCAACATGAACGTACAATAACAACAACAAAAGTCATCATGTTTACAGCTCCAGGCAGCTTTATTTTTGCAATTTTGTAACTTAAGGCCAGTGTTGGGGAGTAACAGATTACATGTACCAGAGTTATGTAATCAGAGTACAAATTATGAGTAACTGTATTCAGTTACAGTTACTGTTTCAGTGAGTGGTAATTGGATTACAGTTACATGGTTGAAATAAATGGATTACACAGAGGTATTTTCCAGTTTTCACATTTTGGGCTATTCCGTTTTTTGTTTTATTTGGTAATTCCACTTACTGCTGGACACTAAATCAAGTCTAAACCAGATCTAAAACCAGGTCTAAACCTGGTATAAACCAGGTCTAAAACTAGGTTTAAACTAGGTCTAAATCAGGACAAAAGCAGGACTAAAGCAGGATTAAAACAGGATTTAACAGGACTAAATCCTGCTGCGTGGACGTGTCTCCTCCTCTTCTACCAATACTATTTTTTATTTGGTTTAGTAAAGTCTGGACTTTTTATTTTCTTTTAGCAGACAAAATATCTTACGTGAAGATTTCCAAGTCTTTGCTTCTCTACAGCAAATCAAGTAATCCAAAGTATTCAGATTACATTACTCACTTTAAGTAATTTAATGGATTATGTTACAAACTACATTCTGGTGTATGTAATCTGTAATCTGTAGGGGAATACATTTGAAAAGTAAACTTCCCAACACTGCTTAAGGAACATTATACTCATTACAGAATGGGGACTAAAACACTCTCTGCGAGAAAAAACTGTGCAACTGCAATACAAACCAAATGCAAACAAAAACAGTGCAAATTTGATCACTAAACAGCATTAACAGTATATCGAAGGGTCAATGAGAGAAGTTCTATTATTATCAAACTCAGGGTGAGGGGTGAGTCTGAATTTCCTTGGGTAATGGGCAGACAGCTAAACTGAGACAATCTGTGAGTCAGTCAGACTGTTTCACTGCTTGGATTTAAGATAAGTTAAACCAAAGTGAGTATTCACTTTCACTGCACATCTAGTAGCACAAAGTGTTGAATTAAGATGGAGATCTACCAGGGACACGGCAAAGATCCAACTGTTGATCGTGATCTACAGGTTGGTGACCACTGGTATAGATCCAATAAAGACAAACCAGGACCTCCACAGTTTTATAACATGTTTGTTTGGATCAGAGACGCGGGTTTGATTCTGTTTGCACACAATGATCACACTTTATACTTTATATGTACAATGTCAACTCATTTATATGAATCTGCGACAGTTTATCCATCGAATAATGCTCCCACTGTAGAATCTTCATTACTCACTCCATCCATTTTCTTCTGCTTATCCAGAGCAGCAGTCTAAGGCAAATCAAATCAAACTTTATTTATAAAGCGCTTTTCATACAAAAATGTAACACAAAGTGTGTCCGCACCAAGAGCAGGGAGACATCCACACCAGGAGCAGAGAGACACCCGCACCAGGAGCAGAGAGACACCCGCACCAGGAGCAGAGAGACACCCGCACCAGGAGCAGAGAGACACCCGCACCAGGAGCAGAGAGACGTCCACACCAGGAGCAGAGAGACACCCACCAGAGCAGAGAGACACCCCCACCAGGAGCAGAGAGACACCCCCACCAGGAGCAGAGAGACGTCCCCACCAGGAGAGCAGAGAGACACCCCCACCAGGAGCAGAGAGACGTCCACACCAGGAGCAGAGAGACACCCGCACCAGGAGCAGAGAGACACCCGCACCAGGAGCAGAGAGACGTCCACACCAGGAGCAGAGAGACGTCCACACCAGGAGCAGAGAGACGTCCACACCAGGAGCAGAGAGACACCCCAGGACCAGGAGCAGAGAGACACCCCACCAGGAGCAGAGAGACGTCCACACCAGGAGAGCAGAGAGACGTCCACACCAGGAGCAGAGAGACACCCCCACCAGGAGCAGAGAGACGTCCACACCAGGAGCAGAGAGACACCCGCACCAGGAGCAGAGAGACACCCGCACCAGGAGCAGAGAGACACCCGCACCAGGAGCAGAGAGACACCCGCACCAGGAGCAGAGAGACACCTGCCACCAGGAGCAGAGAGACACCCGCACCAGGAGCAGAGAGACGTCCCCACCAGGAGCAGAGAGACGTCCACACCAGGAGCAGAGAGACACCCGCACCAGGAGCAGAGAGACACCCGCACCAGGAGCAGAGAGACACCCCCACCAGGAGCAGAGAGACACCCGCACCAGGAGCAGAGAGACACCCGCACCAGGAGCAGAGAGACACCCGCACCAGGAGCAGAGA